CTCTCCCCTTTATTATTGCTATCCTGTCAGCAAGTAGCTACGGTTGAAATTCTGCACAAACGGGCTTCTTTGTTATTGGCTGATGTACAAGTAATCTCTGATTGGACCCAAATTGTACAGGTGGCTTATCAGAACTTCTCACAGTTGTGACTGAGCCACTGAGGGACTCCAATTGTATAGCATGGACTCTTTTTTATTGATATTACATATACATAGTTTGTATTACGGGGGATAATCACGAGTAGGGACAGAACAGGGTGCATGTAATGCCCACTGAACCTGCAGTTTCAAGGGTGTTCTATTATCCATCACTTAGTTAGATGGTGTTTGGAAGCGTGAGCGTTTATTGCGATTGATTTTCAAGAAAAAAAGCTTATATTTTCAAGACCCATTTTTCAAAAAAAAAAAAAACAAACATTTTAATTTTGTTTGGGAGTATTTCTGTCACATAGGCAGTGAGCAATACTATGCTGTTTGGTAAGGTGATTTTAATCACCGTTTTTCATATATGTGCTGACAGATAAACATCACATAGGATACACGTAATCGCTAATCAGTCAACCATTGAGGGAAACGGTTCATTGATGCTTGAAACGCCAAATTTAACGTTTCATACATCGGTGGGGTCCTGATTTACGAGGCATGCACGATTTTTCAAGAAACACCTAAACCAAACAATGAAATTTAAAGGCATTTGTTGAAACACCTATATAAATCCGATGTGATACCGTTTTTTGAAAAACGGCCACAGTTCCAAACATCCCCTTGTAGGGATGTAGACTGACCATCTCAATTACTGGGTCATCAGCCAGTTATTTATTCTTTTCTGTTGATGGGATAATAAATTTTAGCCTTAAAACAACCAAGAGTCCTCTTTATTATTCACATAGATAAACATAGAGAATGGAGAACATAAAATTAAAGGAACCCATATGAGTTGAGCAGTTGAACTACACAGCACTGTAGTCATGCAGATGTCTGGATCTTCTCCCTAACGCGTTTGAAAAAGGCAACCATCTTCTCAGGATCAGGCAGGTTTTCTTTGATCACACCCACTTCCTTGAAATCATGAATCCATGCAACCAGTCGAGGGAATTTATGAGCTTCCAACAGCTTCACGCCCGTTACATCTTCAATCACTCCCAACCAGTGAACAACAACAAAGAAGGCCAGGTCAGCCAATCCAATTGTGTCACCACCCAAAAATTTCTTCTCTCCAAGCCCATGCTCTTCTATGCTTCTCAGCATTTCCAAGATTTCTTTTTTGTCTTCCTCTCCGTGTTCTTCACCCCTGGAATAAAAGAATTTCCATACGCATGTGACCTACATTAAATAAATAAAACCCCAACACATCAGGCATTATATGCTAATTAATAAAGTCATCCTGGGTCGTGAACTTAGGTTAACGTTGCGTTTGGATAAGCTTCAGGCTTTAAACTATTATGTTTTTCTGCTTTCAATCTTTGGGCTGTTGTAAAYAAAATGTGATGACAAGAAATCTTGGAAGCGTTTTTAAGTTTTTTCTTTGAAAACACAAATTCTGAAAGGTGAAACTTATCCAAACGCAAACTTAGTTTGACCCGATTTCAATAAATTGCAAAGTGAATGTAAGCAGAGCTTGAAAGCTTGCAATTTCAGCTTAATTCATTGCTTTTTAAATGAAGAAGCTAGTATGTATATAATTACCTTGTCCTCAGCAAATTTTGCCCAGAATCGTGCTGTGGCTCTCTCCTGTGCATCTTTGGGTAGTAATGGATGCTCCGGCCATGTCTC